CTCCAGCTAGAATTGAACCGTTGGCCTTGTCTGTGGAGGGAGGGCGCCTAGACCACTAGGCTATGGGGACCCATCCCCAATTTTTTTTGTATTATTTTATTGTACACATGTCAATGTAAAAAAAAAGCATGCAAATATAGGAATTCTTAGTCAAAGTTATAAGAATATTATCCAACCAGATGCCAAATATATTACTTAACTTACTGTAAACTTTCCAATAAATTATATTTGTTGCACTCTATTATGGTATAAAATATCCTAAATTATTCAGATATTGCACAAATAAGTCAATAATTATATTCTTATAAGAATATTATATACAAAATTATGTTCATACAAAAAACATAATATTTAATAAAAGTGTTCTCAAATATGAGAACATAAAATGTTCTCAAAAAAAAAATCTTTATGTTCTCTGAGAACAGTGAGAACATTGAATTTCACACACTGATAGTCACCCACTAAATAAAAATATCAACACAATCGAAAAAAAAATACAGTACTGTGTTTTCAACTTCAATGTCCATAAAAAAAAAAAAGTTTGACACTTTTTATGAATGAATCTATAAATAAAGGCACTCAAAACTTCTATCGATTCTATCATATTACAGTATTTCTAATAGTATACTATACAAAATTAATGCAGTATAAAATTCCGGGTTCTTTTCTTACCGACAAAACTTTACTCGGCAATCTGCAATTTTAGTATGGTATACTATTGGAATACAATAGAGTATCTTAGGAATTTTTATTATAGGCATGTTAATTTAGATTTATTTGTGATACTGCAATTTAAGAAGTGCTATAAATCTAATTTATCTTTATCATAAAGATATTTTTAAAACTGATATCGCTTTTTTACGGCATTAAATTCATGAAAATCAATATCTTGATCACCTTTTTTTTTCTATCACAAAAAAATAAATATATAAAAAGATTTATTTACATTTTTAAATAAATCATGTACTACATATACAATAAATAAATAAGTAAATAGCCGGTAATAATAAATAAAAAAAAAACCTAACTAAAAAACCGGTAATTTACTAACAAAAATCACAACAGTTTTCCCTCAATATGTAGCATAAGTATTATCCTTCTTATTGCACTTGCTATAACATTTTGTAACTTTATTTTGACAGTCATTTTGAGCATATACGTCATTATAACCATAACCGGTGGTACCACTAATGCACTCCGTGTATTTCTTTTGACATTCGACCGTGCAATCTTGCGCTTCAGTTTGGGGACTTCTTCTAAAAGGAGCAGCTCTAGCATTAGGATAGGGACCAGCTCTAGGATTGGCAGAAGCCAAAGCAAATAAGAAGACGGAAACAAGGAAGAGAATAAAGTTGGCCTTCATTATTAAATAAAATTTTTATTAAAGTTTCTTTTAGCGAAAGTTGTTTCGTTTTTTAAAGATGCTTTTTATTTTTTTGGTTTCTTTTTTGTTTAATAGTAAACAAATAATATTTTTGAGTAATTTTGATTTTAGAAGGAATGACTTTCTAGTTATATTTATAGAAAATCAAAAATCAATGATTTACAAAACCTATAAGTGTGGGAATCCATAGGTATGAGGCTTGAATACCTTGAAAGGCCAGAAGAAATCGAATGATGTTCTTCCTGGCTCTCCTGCTATAGTACTTATCCGTATACTCAGCAATTTTATCGTATGATTTAGATATGTACTTAAGCCACGCATTCAAATTTTCACTAGATTAAAAATGATACCGATAAGAAGTAATCTCTGATTTTTGGCCGCACTGATCTTGAGTGGCTCATAACTTAATCATATTTTATGGCTGTGCGTGGCTGTGAGAAGGATGCGCCTTTTGGTGCTAAAGGTTTTTTTTTTTGCACAATATAATACATTATTAGTCTGCAAGATTTTACGACCCGTCTGTAGATCGGGAATATATATAAAAAAAATAATAAAAAAAAACAATTAAGTGAATTAGATTAGAGAGGGGATTTTCAATTTCCCGCTTGTGATCGCCGATCTACAAGATGCTTAAGCCTAATAATTGCCTAAGCCGTCAAAGGATTTGCAATAAAATATTTAAAAAGTAAAGATGAATTAAACCCATTTTTTTTAGAAAACAAAAGCTGCCGCACAACCAATCTGAAATTCTTACATAAAAGTTAGTGGCTTTATTTTTTAAGTAATTCTTCATTAATAAATTCCCTTGTACTGTAGCGACAAAAAACGTTAATATTCATTAATCGATGTGTAATTTCCAGGATATAAGAAAATTGATAATCTAAGTATAATACATGAGTATATTATATATACTTTGAGATTCTATGCCGTAACAGATAAGCCCTTGGCTGTAATACTTAATAGTAGTGAAATAAGCCGAAATTCCGTGTGAAATACAATATTAGAGATTTTTTTTAATCAAAATTTTAAAGTTTATCTCTAATTATTATAGTTTGGTGTGTTTTATAATAATTAAATAGAATATAATATCATACTATGCTGCTTAATTAAATTCCTGTGGAATAGAAAGCAATGATTTGGGAAATGAGTCTATTGGTTTAGTAAACATTGAAAAAATAAACTGGTTTAGATACGCTAAAATGCTCTTGAACAGCCATTAAACTATTTCAGACCGAAATAACTGAATTAATCAAGTTTAAAATTATTAATGCACAAAAATAGTCTTGAAGCCTCAGTTGTTTTAATTAGCATACGTAATTGCTTAAATTGTATTTTAAAATATAATCGTCTGTTATCTAATATTTACTGTAGGCTTCGATCATGACATCAGATGGCTTTGCCGATTATATGCATGAAAAATCTAAAGGATCTTTACAATATAGATGTACCTAATCAGATAGTTTCGCCGTGTCCCAAATCTAAACTGTCAGAAATTATTTTGAGATTTACCATAACAAAGTCTTAAATACCATTATATCATAAAATATCATTTTATTTATCAATTTATATTTTTAATCAAATATATTTTTTGTTTTGATAAAATCTCAAATCCCGATCAAAAACTGCCGTAATCATCAGTGCCGAAAAAGCTTGGATTACATCTCTATACTGTATATTACTCTATAATCAATTGATTAATAATGAATTATTAGACAGGTCACTTATGCTGCAAGTAACCATGATTTCGCTCGGGTACCTATTGAGAACTATGAAAATAGGGCATTCGCTTGATGTCATGTGATTTGTTTTCATTTACATACAGCATTTATAGTGTATTACTTCAACATCAACAAAAAACGTCACGAGCAGTTATTAAACAGGCAAGCAAGACAGTAAACATAGAATGAAAAAAAAGATCGAATGACGTAGGAACATGTATAAAGAGCTAGATCGAATTCAAGTGGTAGACTGTGACATCGGTTGGGAGAGTAATTTTGAATATGGTTCAATTTAGCTCCGATGGTTCACTTGGATGAATTTTAACTATCGTTCATTACGGTTTGTACACGTGATACTTAATTTATTCGGGGTCGGGTTATCACTTAATTAGATCACACTTTAATTATTCGTAAGTATTCGGTCTTTTACTATCAGCACTAATACGCTTTCTTGCTTATGTAATAATTTATAGTATCGGAGTAATTAATAATTTAATGCAAGAAAACAATTATAAAGAAATAAATAACACGAATAATAAAACAATGCAATAAACTCAAATACAGCCGGAGAAAATCCAATTCTTATCATATACTCTATAAGACATCATAGTCTGATCAAACTTTATGGATCCCTATCATTTCTCCGACATCAATTCTCCGACAATTACTTCCCTGACAAATCCTTTCCATGACACGATAATTTCCCCGACATCTATTTCCCCGACAATCACTTACCCGACACAATCATTTCCCCGACAAATCCTTTCCCCGACACAATCATTTCCCGACACGATCATTTCCCCGACACAATCCTTTCCCCGACACAATCATTCCCCGACACAATCATTTCCCCGACATAATCATTTCCACAACATATTATTTCCTCGGGGAAATGATTATGTCGGAAAATGATTGTGTCGGGGAAAGGATCGTGTCGGGGAAAGGATTGTGTCAGGGAAATGATTTGTCGGGAAAATGATTGTGTCGGGGAAGTGATTGTCGGGGAAGTAATTGTCGGGGAAATGATAGGGATCCCAACTTTATTAAGCCGAAAAGTTACTCTTTAAATACATTTTTACTTACTATGGTCTTACTCGCGATCTTATTATTATAATGGTATTACCACGGTTTAAAGTCTTTAACCCGTGACAGGGCTATAACGTGACCTGAACCACAAGAATATTGTGAGGCTCCTAGTTCGGGGCTGGAGGCTTAGAGTATTGATTGGTTTTAATGTTTACTTTACTCCAGCGTTTGTTAATCATACGATAAACATTAGATAGAATATGATCGTATGATAT